TTTGTTTGTTTTGGTACCAGGGATCGAACTCAGGTCCTTGCGCTTGTGAGTCAGGTGACAGCACCACTGAGCTAAATCCCCAGCCCGTGGATGGCCCTTGATACCAAAGCCAGTCCTGCCGCCTTCTGGCCAGCTCAGGGTCCCTTGCCTGCAGCCCTTTACCACTCAGTGGGGTGGACATGGCCTCCTCTGGGGCCTCTTTCCAGAAACCTTTGATGCTGCGGGTTGAGTTACGAACCTACTATAAAAACCCATCATCCTCGCCACCACCTTGTCTCCTCCTGCCACATAAAACACAGGACATCCAGGTAAATCAGAACATCAGATGGCAAAGTTCAAAAGTAATATTTTAGTACAGGCATACCCCATGCAATATGGAACACATTCATACTCGGTGTTTTTCATGTTTATCTGACACTGAACCCAGTTGCTAAACCCAGCAGCACCTTCCTGGTTCCCTCTTGACCCCATGCTTCATCCCAGGATGGTCGTGGGGCAGCCCCTGGACCCACCTCCTCTCTAACTCCCTCAGCAGTTGCAGCAGAGAGCTCTAGGCCCACACCATGAACCTCAGTCCTGGTGCCAGGACCAGTTACAGGTTTAGAAAGGACGGGTCTCAGAGGGGTGACCCCACCTGCGCTTCCTGATCTGCCAGCTGTGACGGGGTGAAGGTGGAGGAAGCAGGCACAGCCAGGAGGGGACAGAGGGTTCCCGGGAGGGCAGGCACAACTTCCTGCGCATGCTCAGCTGCCCAGCACTGCAGTGCTGTCCTTATTAACCCAGTTCTGTGGATTCTGCCGCTGCGCTCCATTTCCCCTGGGCAGGGGTCGGATCTGGGCTGCAGGGCCAGGAAGGCACTTGGCAGGCTTGGGCTGAGTGCACTGCTCCCCAGCTTTTTCCTCTTGAGGTGCAGGCTGGACCACCTCTGTGACCTGAGGACAGCTCTGCTGCAAGGCCCACAGCGGAGGGGAGCATGGGGAGCCTGGGCCTCACCTGTGAGATCACCACCTGAGCCCTTCAGGGGCAGGGGGCACATGACCCCCTCTGTGAGCCAGCTCCAAATCTCAGCCTTCCCTGGAGCCCCTGGCCCCTGGCTCAGCTCATCCCATCCCTGGGGGCTCTAACCAGGGCCACCTGTGTGCCTGCTGCCTGGGCCTGACACCCTCTCACTTCCACACAGGGTGAACCCCACTCTCAGAGCAGCAGTCCGTGTGACAGTGGGGGTGGGGGGGGAGGGCTAGGCTCACACACCCAATGATCTCTTTACCCCCAGTCAATTAATGTTCCTCCACCTGCTTTTGTTAACGGTAGTTTAATAATCACTAATTATTCAGTGCATTCACAGACTTTGAATGTCTCGCAATCATCTATTCAATTAAGTATTAAATTTTAAAAATCCAATGACTGCTGTCTTTGGCATAGCGGGTGTGGCAGAGCACCGGCAGCTATGGGAAGACCGTGGTCCTTCTGTGTCCAGTGCCACCACCGCTTTCCTGCAGCCGAGCCTTGAAGGACCCATGCGTCTCCCCTGGGCCCTGGGTGGCTCTGGATACAGCCAGTATGGGGGGACAGCACACCCCACAGTCCCGGGGATGCCCGAGGAAGAGGAGAGCCCTGCATCTGTATTGGACTCTGTAAGGTGTGGGTAGACAGACTAAGGGTCACCTCCCACCCTGCTGTCTGGGTCCCTCTCCTCACCCCACTTATAGGGTCTTGCCAGAGAAGCACCGGCCCTATTATTATGGGAGGAGGAAGCACAGAACTTGGGCCAACTGGAAGTGGGAGTGCGGGGCTATGGGGAGACCTGGAGGAAACCAACTGAAGGAGCACTGGGGTCTCAAGAAGAGGCGTGCCTTGCCACCTGGCCAGGAAGCACGGAGCAAGGGGGAGAGGGACCCTGAGCAATCAGCATCTCATGCTCCCTGTGCCACATGAAACCGAGCTGCTCACCAAGTTCTCTCAGCAGGGCCACAGGGGGGGCACCAGTGTCTCCCAGAGGTGAGGTGCCACCTGCCCTCAGGCAAGCCCATGGGTCAGGGGGTCAGAGGAGCCTGGGTCCCTAAGGGGAGGTGACCTGGCAGCTGAGTGCACAGGAGGGAGGACTGAGGCAGGGTCACTGCAGTGAAGGCAAGGCCAGGGCTGGGTTATGTCCTGGAGCCTCCGGCTTCCACCCAGGGGAAGATGGCTCCAGTGCTCGGGTCTCTGGTGCCAAGAGTCAGAGGCTGTATCATAGTCCATGGTTGTGGCCACATCAGGACCACAGGCATGACCAGGCCTGCTCAGGGACACTCCCTAGAGCAGGAGGTAGCATAAGGGCAGATGAGCCGCCAATGCAGCTCCAAAGAAACTTCCCCAAACCTGGGAATGTGTCCCCCTGCATTCCCACAAGTGCTGATCTCCAAAGAGCACGTACACACCTGGTTCCAGCCCAGTGGGCACCATCCCTCTCACGCTGGCCTACTGTCCCTTCAGGTCTCCTGGGCCTGGCAGAGAAGGAGCTCCACCAGGCAGGGCCAGTGACGCACAAGGGTCACTTGACTCTGAGATGGAGCGGGCCACCGTCACCCACCTGGGCTGGGGAAGCAGACACAGGGCAGCCCTGACTGACAAGGGGAGGGTGGAATGGAGCTGGATGAGGGGACAAAGGGGCCACCCCCTAAGTGGTCAGTGGTGGCCACAGGGGCAGGACTCCCCACCTGGCCCCGAATAGGCAGCAGGCCACCACGATCTGCCCTCTGGGGCCCAGGTCCCCCACACAGCACCCCAGGCGGAGGGGCGGCCATCGTCCCAGACTCAACAGTCCCCAGCGTCTGGGCACACAGAGGCCCCATGGCCCCTCCCTGCTGCTGTAGTGACAGGCGCCTCAGCACCCAGAAGGCACCGCCCCTGACACACTGAGTTCTGCATTCAGACAGCTCCCTGGGCACCTGAAGTGTCCTCCCGAGCAGGAGCCCAGTGCACCAGCACAGCACCATCCTGGGCCGGAAGCTCATTGGGAACTCGAGTGCTCATGGACTGACCAACTCGCATACGCATAAACACGCATACACAGGGCACACAGACACCTGCACATATACACTTGTGCTCACACAGATAACGCTACACACAGACACACATGTACATGTCATGCCACATGCAGACACTTGTGCATATGAACACCTCCACACACACTTGTGCAAGCCATCTCCAGCCACACAGTCATGCACAGAGACCACACACACTCATGCAGATACACCTCCGCATGTACACACTTGTGCAAGGCACCTTCACATACACATTCGTGTAAATAGCACACACATGCAGCCCATGCAGACATCTCCCCATGCACACACAGACACATCAGTACACACACACACACACAAACACACAAACACAATCCCGTCCAGAACACAGTTGGGAACTTGTGCCTGGATCTGAGGGGCCTGGTCCCTACCCTCCCTGCTTCTGTCACACAGGGCACACTGAGTGCTGAGAGGCAGAAGAGGCCAGGGCATGAGGACCCCGGCCTGGGTTCCAAGAAGGCCCAGAGAAGAGAAAACACTCAGTGCCCCCATGGCCTGGTACACAGCTCAATGTGTGGTGCAGGGAGGGCCTGGCTGCCGACCATGGGCCACAGAATCCTCAGACAGCAGGTGGCTCTGGGGCCCACTGAGGGACCCTGTCTCCTGGCTAGGATGGGGTGGGCAAAGCCCCTCACTCCCAGTCTGCTTGGGTGCGGGTTCAGGTGCTCATCAGAGCCGCTGGCCACTCCTGGGGGACAGGGAGGTGACAGACATGCTGGCACTGCCGTCTCACTGAGGTCACTGCCTGCCCCTCACCCTGCCCCTGCCACTGCCACACTGAACTTGGCCACACCCTGCCTTGGGGACGAGGAGATCTGGGCCCATGCCCCACCCTCAGACCTGTGCCCAGGCCCTAGGGAACAGCTGTAGACCAGCTTCTGCTTTTGTGTGCTGCCCTTTTTCAGAGCAGGTGTGCTTGCCGACCCCCAACCTAGAAGACTCCATAAACTAGGTGCGGTGTTGCAGCCCTGTGATCCTAGCATTCTAGGAGGCTGAGGCAGGAGGATCACAACTTGGACCCCAGACTGGGCAACTCAGTGACTTAGCAAGACCTTGTCTCAAAATGAAAATTAAAAAAAAGATGGAATGTCTCAGATTCAATCTTTATCATCTAAAAAAAAAGACTCACTTAAGATTCCAGGTTGGCCCAGCAGCACACACCTGCAATCCAAGGAGGACCACAAGTTTTAAAAAGGGCTGCAGAAGGGCCGGGGATTTAGTTCAGTGGTTCTGCTACTTGCCTCAAAAGCACAAGTTCCTGAGTTCGATCACCAGAACCA